AGAATATATATATATATATATATATATATATATATCAAGATTTAAAAATCATGATATATATCAAAATTAGAATCCTAAAATTAGAAGACTATCTGTAGAAAAAATGAGAAAGATTGCGGAACCAATCAGAAATCGAAACAGCGGTTATGCTTCTCTGTTATATCTAGAGGTTTGTTCGCGTCGCATATTCCAGTATGCTTTTGTCATAGCTGTTTCTCACTCCAATGCCTTCATTAGAGTAAGTAGGAACTATGGCATGTTGGAGAATGCGACGCGAACAAACTTTACAATTCTAGGTGAGGGCAGTGTGTTAGGCCAGATTCATACCTTGATGGAAAAGAGGAAATCAATCGGAACTCAGTAGTAGGCGGTACATTTCGCTTGTTGGGGATCAATTCTGTATCTTGAAACGAGGTGAAAATTACAAAAGTGAGCAACTTTATTAGGTGTTGAAATTATCAGTATTTTAGTAAATTCATTTGCATGGTTTACAGTGGGCAGTAATAGTAGTTGATTAAGGAGTAGGCGTAGAAATTGACCAATCATAGTCGATTATTCTTCTCATATTCAACTGTGATTGATCAATTTGTTACTCTTACAACCTCATCTATTACTGCTACTATCATTGTAGATCACGCAGTTCACTTTTGTAATTTTCACTCGTTTCAAGAAACAGAATCCCCTGCTTCTGTCTTTCCGCGAGTTCTGATTGGCTTTCGCTTTTCCGCTTTCCATTTTTCCGTCAAGGTGTGAATCCTGCCAGTGTTGTTAGACGGGCCGAGTTTCAGACGCATGCGCGTCCAAAATAGCTTCAGTAATGTACCGATCACTAGTAAATAGGAGATCATTAGTCGCTTAGGGTTGAAAATGTTGAAAATTTTAATATATTTTACATATTTTATATACGTATACATATATATAAATATATATAATGTATTTCTATATATGTATACCTATGTAAAATATATTAAAATTTTCAACATTTTTGAAAAACTTTTACATAGGCGATTAATAATCTCTTATTTATTA